ATACCTGAGGTTCCTGTCTGCCTCACCCCCACCGCCCCGCTGCGAGAGTGGTCAGTGTGGCACTTCTCCTTCACGTAGCCTGCTGGCTAGAAATAACTCTGGTGGGTTTGAGATTGATGAATGGTCCTTCCTGTTGGCGGAGCAGCGCCAGCCGCCCAGGTGTTTGCTTTTTGCTGCGCGCTAAAACAGAGGGACGAGGGGAATAGTCAGGATGGGGCTTTTACTGCCGTTTGCCTGCTTCCTGGCTGCAAGTTACAGTTTTCTCTTAACCTCTTTATTTGGTTTTATCCTTCGTGTTCTTTCTGGCCTCTTTAGGTATTAAGGTTCGTAGCAGGGTTTCAAGGACCTATTTTTAAGAGTGAAATAATATTTAGCTTTTAGCTGTTGCCGTTTCCCGGCTATATTTTACCACGTGGTGGTAGTTCTGTGATGTGGTTTACTGGTCACTGGAAAGTTGACATCACCAAAAGCATTTCATTCACAATCTAAGATCTTCGTGACGAATTACAGACCTGCAAGCGAATAACTGGAATTGCATGGCTGTGACTTGCGTGCTGCTTGGATTGAAGTTTTATCAAGAGTGAAGACTGTCGATGAAAGAAATGTTGCATTCAGCGTCCACGTGGTTATGATTAAGTCTTCAACGTAAGACTCCTCTTTCCCCTTATTAAACTCACAATTGTAAACATTTCCAGCGTCCTTCACTGTGCGCATTACTGTTACCTGCCTCGTAGAGTGCCTGGGAGCACCAGCCACAGAGCTGCGCCCGTCAAGAGCCAGATTCTGTTCTCAGTCTTAAATAATTTTTTAGGCAAGCCTCTGAAACTGGCAGTGAGCTGAAGAAATCTGGGTTTTGCTTAGCAGTACTGCTGACCCAAATCAGGTAGGAAGCTGGAGGGCTGTGGGCACGCGGTCAGTGTGAGAGGAGAGGGAGTGGCTCACGTTCGAAGGAGAAAAAGCAGCAGGCGACTGCAGAGGCCATCCTAGCCTGGATCCCAGGGTGCTGTGCTTGCAGGGGCTGCTTCGGATCAGGAAATGTTGGTCAAAGCTCGGTCCTCTCGATGAAGGCAAATAAAGCCCCAAATCCACAGAAATGTTATAGTTCTACGGCAGGCAAGGCTAAGGACCTCAAAAGCAAGTGGTTTGAATAAACTCAGGCTCCCAAGTGTAAAGGACAAGTGGTGTGCAAGGCAGGACACGCCATAGTTGGCTCTCCCACAGGGACTTTGGGTCTGCAATACTAAATTGAGGAAAAAAAAAAATGCGCTTCACTCAGTGAAATGATGACAGATGACTTGAATACTCTCCAGAAACAACTACACTGAGCAAGAAGGTGTCATCTTCAGACAGTTGTCCCTTGACGTGTCCCTTTACGTTTCAATTTTTGCAAAACTAAGATTATCGCTAATGAGCAATCCTCACTGAGGCCCCAGGTTCTTGTTCAGAAGTGACATGGGAAAAAGACTGCGGAAACCCCCGAGCTTGTTCTTCCAGATTTTTTCTTTTAAAGGAAAGAGGCCCATGCAACTTTATCTTCTCTGAAATGTCTGTCTGAATATTCATCTGAGCAAGAAAGTAATTTTAGCATCCATGACACACAGCTTCTGCTGCCATCTGATTGCTCAACGGCACCAAGAATAAATATTTCCTTAAGCCGGAGGGCAGGACTCTGAACGCTGCTCGTTCCCCCTTCAGAAGCACCTGTGTGTGTGTTTTTACAAGGTCTGAGTAACACAGTGGTGCTTTGTAGCTCTGAGTCAGGGAAGCTCTCCGACCCTGCAAGCACGCTCTTGCTTAGCGTCCTTTTCAACAAATGGAGGGGGGAGGGAAAAAAAAAAGCTGAGAAGGCTGCCTGCATCTTGACACCAAAAAGCAGTGCTCCTGCACAGCTTGACATGAGCATACCTGTTTTTCCAAAGAAGTCAATGGTGCTACTCCTGTGCTTAAAGGTAAGCAGGTGTTGGCGTGCTTTACCAAACCGGATCCGCCAAGCCCGGAGGAGGCTTGTCTTTTTTCCCCTAGATTATGTGCCTGTCAGATATACTGGTTCTGAGGTGATGTTAATCAAGCGGGAAAGCTGACTGGTTTTTAGGAACTGGTGCAAACTTGTGTGCTTTACATGCTTTTTAAGTGACAAATTATATTTATGTAGGATACCTAGAGCTCTTTGAACCACTCATTTGCACATGGTGGTGGTATTTGATGAACAGCTTCACCAATAGCGAGACCATTAAAGGAATGACCAGGCAGGTTTTTGTCTTCTTTAATCGCTTCAGCAGAGGTTGACACCTTCGCGTTCATCGAGGCCCCTTCTCTCTCTAGATAAGAGCTCAGCGATATCCAGATCCCTCTGACCCACAGGCCAGCACCCGATGAGAGGAAGGATGTTCCAGGGGTTACGGGGCGAACTGGAGACTTGGGAGACTTGCTCTGGTTTCCTGTCACCTCCGTAAAGCCAGCCGGCCTCAGGGTGCGAGTTCCTCATCTGTGAAATGAATTGCACTTCCCCGTCTCGGAAGGACGCTGTGGCGGGAATGCGCTGGTGATGGCAATGCGTCAGGTCGTTGTGTCGCCAGCAGCGCGAGCGCTTCCCAGCCCCTGGGGGAAGCTGATGTAGAGTTCGGTAATGAGGGACGCATGGTCCCCTGGCAGAGGGCCAAGCAAGGGATAACCTGACATCAGTGGGGCCGTGTTAGCAAAAGGGCCCAAGTCCACTGGATCGGCTCCCACCTAAGAAAAGCCCAGGTTGCTTTTGTTTCCCTTCCTGTCCTTTGTCCCCCCCACCTTTCATGCTTGTCGGGTCTAGCCAAAATCACAGAATCACAGAATGGCAAGGGTTGGAAGGGACCTTGGGGCATCATCTAGTCCAACCCTCCTGCTAAAGCAGGATCACCTAGAGCAGGTTGCACAGGACATTGTCCAGGTGGGTTTTGAATATCTCCAAAAAAGGAGACTCCACAACACCCCTGGGCAGCCTGTTCCAGTGCTCTGTCACCCTCAAAGTAAAGAAGTTTTTCCTCACATTCAACTGAAACCTCTTATGCCTCAGTTTGTGCCCATTGCCCCTTGTCCTGGCACTGGGCACCACTGAGAAGAGTCTGGCTCTGTTCTCAGGACGTCCACCCTTGAGATATTTGTATGGGTTGATGAGATCCCCTCTCAGTCTTCTCTTCTTCAGGCTAAACAAGCCCAGCTCCCTCAGCCTTTCCTGATAGGGGAGGTGCTCCAGTCCCCTCATCATCTTAGTTGCCCTCCTCTGGACTCTCTCTAGGAGTTCCTCATCTTTCTTGAACCAGGGAGCCCAGAACTGGACGCAGTACTCCAGGTATCCCTCGCCTTCCTGAGGAGGCTGGGCTCACGTGGGGGTTAGCACATGGATGCCGAAAGCCTTGCCTTTATATGGTTGACCATAAATCAAAGGAAGGCGTATTGCAGCTCTATGAATGCATTGGCTTGTGTGAAAAGGGGAAGGACACGGTCGCAGAAGAGACTACTTATTGACACAGAGTGTAGATTTATGCAGCTGCAGCTGTGAGTACACGGTAACAATAGTCCTCTTTATACAGTAAAGCAGGGCAGTATGAAACGATTTCCAGAAGGTAGCCGAGCAATTAGCCTGCCCCCCTAGCCTTGGTGCCAGGGGATTGCTGCTTCTCCTCAGGCTGGCTTGTGATTCTCAGAAATTATTCCAGGCCCTTCAGCTGAATGCTCTTTAGCAGATTTGCATATCCTTCCTTAAAAAGGATGACTTTGCCCTTGTTTGACACTTCAGTAAATTTTAGTCTTTTCTTATAAAGAGGAACTATCAAACTGGGGCACACGAGGAAGAAGAGGACATTCTGTTACAAAAAGCGAGTGACTGGACCTGTCCTTGGTCTCATCGCTTTTGTTGCCTTTTCGGATGGCTGGAAATAGGGAATCAGTTGCTCAAGACCTTCTCTCTGCTGCTCTGTCCTGCAATGTCGCCTTACCCCTGCGCTGGCCAGCTTAGTGTTTTGGCCGGCGCTGCCTGAAGTACATTACGGAAAACGAGCTCCTTCGATTACAGGAGTGTTTGCAGCGTTCCCCCTGGGACACTGAGCGGTGTCACTGTTCAGCTGCCAGGCTGGCCTGGCTTTCCCTTTCCTAGATTGCCTCTCACCGTGCCAGCACTGATCGTTATCCTGTGCCTCTCCTGGGAGGTGCTGCGCAAAGGTGAAACACAATCTTTGTTCCAAAAAAAGTGTGAACTAATCACAAGAAAGGTGCTGTTAATGAACGCAGAGAAAGAGACAAGGAAACAATGATACAACAGAAGATTTCTTGCAAGACTGGACTCTTAATTTGACCTGGAATTGTTGTCAAGATTAAAAAAAAATGGCTATAAGGTGTTTATAACCTGCAAAACGTACCTGACTTGCTGTGTAAGTACCAGTACTTCCAGACACAGCCAGTGCAGTTTTGGTAAACACAAGTTATGCACCAACCCATGGCTCAAACTTTAAGCCAAAAGGTGGTGTTTTAAAGAAAAAAAACTCAACATTTTTGGTTGTCTTTAAGTTACAAGACCCTTCCCAGCATTAGAAGAGGACAAGGTGCTTAGGGAAAATTATTTTCTATTTAAAGAGATTGCTATTGCTTAAACTAGAAAAGGAGGAAAGAGGAGAAGTAAAGACTTGGAGGAAACAAGGGGAGAACCCTAAGTAGAGAAATGGAAACCAGTATCAGTAGGCACAGGGCCGTCGTGCTATTAGGTGACAAAAGCTCCTTTTCACCAGCTGCAGAAGCTTTATTGCAGCTTTCTCCAAGTAAATGAGATTTTAACAACTGTATCCAATGGGGAAGGACTCCTTGCTACAGGCCGGATTTTGAATCATCTTACCTATTGCAAGATCAACAACTGGTTGTAAGGTGTTGAGTTTGCCTGGAGGACCACTGCCAGGAAACTCCCAGGCAGCCAAAGCAGAGTCAGCGAGGAGCTGGGCACAGCGCTTGGCTGGCCAGAATCCCCAGCACGAGCCATGCCCTGGAGACTGGCCAAAGGAGCCGCCTCTGCTGGGCTGTGGGTCGGACCGCTGGGTGTACAGGCAGCCGAGAGCAGGGAGGGGACACGAAGGCCCAGAAGAGCCAGAGGCAACCCTGCTACCTGCTTTGCAGATGCCCTCTCATGTGACAGTTTCAGGTGGTTTGGGGGGGTGGTTTGTGTTGGTTTTGGTTTGGGTTTTGAGAAGCAAAAAGCTGTTGGCTTAACCGTATCACCTGACTGGATGGCCGCCTCAGTTCCATGAGACCATCTCTGCAGGACACAGCGGGAGCCATAAAAGGCTGCAAAACTGGAGTCCGATATTTTCTGGGCCTAGCCAGGAGTATTGTGTTCCCAGTGGGAAGTCGGGAACTTCTCCTTTTTCAGGACTATAAATCGTTCACCTTACTTGTTTGCTTAATGCTGTACATTAAAACTGTCAGTTGCCCGGGTCTTGGTCTGAGGTCGTATCTGTGGAAGAGACTATAGAAGCACCTCTGTGCCAATTTTTTTTTCTTTGCAATTGTTTTGAAGTCATAGATTTCAAATAATAGAGTACTGTAGGAAAAGGTTATATATAGCAGGCCAAAAGTTCATGACAAATTGCAAGACTGTTACTTATTTATCGCCTGGCTGTATTACAAGTCCCTGTGTGTACCGCATCAAGTATGTATTCTTAGCGTGCCTACAAGAGCGCCTTTGAAGTCATAAACGTTGCGTAATTTTTACTGCTTAGCTATCCAAAATGCTATACGGAAGAAAAGTTTTCACCCTCTCTGCCAGCACTGCAACTAGGTAGGTCTGAAGCTCTCCAGGTATATTGGTTCTCACGTCGTCTCCCTCCTTCTCTGCTCCAGTTGTCACTACAGATCACTCCGCCATGTGAAAGCGAACAACACTATGAATACTCTGGACGGTGCTGCACAAAGTGTGAGCCAGGTATGTGAGCAGTGGGCCGTACCAGCTGCATAACTGAAAAGCTCATTAGAAACAGCTCTGCGGGTCAGTAGGGCAGCTTGCTCTTGTCACTCTGCTAATCTGTTGGCACATACCATCGCAGGTGCATGATGTTAGGCTTACAAAGTGCCTTCTAGTGCAGGGGTGCTCCTGCTGACCTCAGCCAAAGCCGTAGCAGCTATTCTGTTGGGATAGCAGTCAACCGCTGCGGGAGACAGAAAGCAGCTTGATTCTCGTGCGCGTAGATAGGGCTGCTCCCAGGCCAGAAGCTTTGCGGATGTTTCAGTGCCACGCTAAACGGGGGCCAGACTGAGGAACTGAAGAGGTGGCGGGAAGAAATGATTGTCCACAGCAGTACAGCAGCATTAGCCCAAGCTGTTATTTTCCCTAATTTCCTCAGACAGCTGGTGTGCAACTTGCAAACAACCTACGTGTCCTTCTCTCATTCACAGGAAAGTACATGTCTGCTAGATGCACTGGTACTTCTGATAGCGTGTGCCAGCCGTGTGGCCCAAACGAGTATATGGATGTCTGGAATGAAGAAGATAAATGCTTACTACATAAAATATGTGATCAAGGTGAGCTGGTGATACTGAAGAACCTTTAAATACAAATTAGCGAAGCACAAAGATGGGAAAGTGGATCTAGGGAAGTCACTTTGTTCAGGTACGTGGACGCTGGAGGCTGGGCTTGTAGAAGAGCCTGGCAGAGAGGGAGCTCCTCAGGCAGCAGGGATTCTGTGCTGTGCTGAGCAGTGCGACCACAGTCTCCGTGCTGCTGATAACGGTTATCTTTGCTGCGGCCATTCACTCCTGGGAGCTGGATCTTAAAGGTTGTCCCTTTGCCCAGCATACTGTGCATTCACTTCCCCAAACACGCTTGTTTCACCCTTGCAAAAGCGCTCTCTATTTTCTGCAGCAGCAGTGAGGAAAAATACTGCTCAGGAGTGCAATCAGTGAGGAGCCCCACGCTGATCAAGGGTTTCCCGTGCTTCTCGAAAAATAACATTTCCTCTAACAGGAACGGTTTTGCATCTAGCATTCAAGCAAAGCAAGCAGGCAGAACAGGAGGTTCATAAACTTGAGGCTTATTATCAGAGAGATTTTTACTCCCATCTGCTTTCTCTTTTAGGGAAAGCTTTGATAGAAGTGAACCCAGGGAACAGCACGTTCCAGCGGCAGTGTGCTTGTACGATGGGCTACCACTGGAATGAAGACTGCGACTGCTGTCAGCGAAATACCATATGTGCTCCAGGATTTGGAGTTGAGCATCCTGGTAAGATACAGAAAGGGGCCCTACAGAGTGAAATGTCCAACTCGGGCTTACAGGATGAGGCCAGCATCATGTGGGTTGTGACATTCGAGAGGATACTTTAGACTCTCAGATGACTGTCAACAGAACGTGCATATCTGAGTTACCATTACTGCTGCATATACCCTTCCTGGAGTATTAACATTTTGAAGGTTTCTGCCTCTGTAGTTTAAATAGTAACTTGGATCAAGTGGCTTTTGCAAGATACCATGTGGACGTGGCAATAGTCACAAGGTGTTCAGTGCATTTTGGACGTTTGCTGAGGTGTCTGACTGTGAATCACTAGGACATGCATTGCTCCTGTATTCAGAGAAGTGGTCCACTGAGGAATGTTGCTGAGGTCGGATTTGAAATCAGTTTTTGGCCAAAGACTTTTGCTTTGCCATTTTATAGTGCTATAAGCAAGTTAAAAGTGATTAACGCCTTTCAGGTAGTGCGAGTATTCTTTGGTTTAGATGACTTGTCATGCAAAGATCTATCACAGGCATTTAATTTAGTCCTGATTGAAAACAAAATGCAGGTGTTTGTGGGTGGAAAATAGAGACAGTCAAGTTCAGAGTTGTAACAAACACTGGGAACATGAGGAACCCCAGAAAAGCAGCACATAGTAGAGTAATGGAGGATGAAAAGCTGCATGGGCCTGGAGCACAGTGGTGCTGTTGCTGTTTTTTCTCCAGTCTAGCAAATCCTGATAACAGCATTTTGTTTACTGTGGCTTCATAGAAGTGACAATACCAGTTAGTGTTGCTGTCTGTGGCGTAGCATCGACACGAGGAAGTTAATGGAAGGGGAAGGATATAATAGCTGTGTGTTATTTTACAATGACTGCAAATGGCTCCTGGTCATTTCTCATTTTGATTGTGTAGATAAGTGCACAGGTGAGACTAGCATACTTTTTTTCTGCTTACATGTGACTGTCATTGTTGCTCTAATGTAATCTAAGATCCTTCTCTCTTCGGGGAAGCATTCAGTGGGGGGGGAAGTGGAGAGGGAGTATGGGGAACATAGTCACCTTCCCCTTACCTGAAAGGAACTCAGGGAAACTCAGCTATGAATTTTTCTTCCTTTACTCTACACAGTGCAACAAGACAAGGACACGATGTGTACACCATGTCCCAGAGGCTACTTCTCAAAGATTGCTTCATCCACCGACAAGTGTAAATCCTGGACCAAGTAAGTCCCTGTATCTTGCAAAAGGACTATGCTAGCCACAAGGCAAGGAGAAGCTTGGGTGAAAGCATTTTTCAGTGGGGTGTTTCAGGCTGTCTGCAGAGCACACGGAGCATCTCTGTTGGCTGTGCAGCGATAAAGGCATTCTCACGCTGGAGCTTGAATTCTCTTTGCAGGGGGGGAGCAAGAGAGAGTGGTAACAACAGAGCTGCTGAGGTAACAGAGCTGAAAATAAAGAAGGTATCTGAGCTTCGTAAGGGTGGGGAAATGCAGGATAAATGTTGCTACTCTGCATAAGTGTAGGAGCCACGATAAGCTCCCTCTTTGAGACTCTAACCTCTTTGTCTGTCTTTCTCAGCTGTACAGCTCTAGGAATGGCAGAAATAGTGCCTGGGACTGACAAGTCAGATGCAGTTTGCACAGAACGGAAGATGCCTGAACCATCGGAAGACGGTATGTGTCCTCATACAGACTATCTGTTAGAAAGTACCAGGGAGGAGGAGGGACGTGTTTGCTAGGGCTTTTGGCTGGCTTAACTCCATTCCCACTGTGGGGGGAGCAGCTGTAGACCAAGACAGCGCTCTCAGAAAATCCCACCTTTAAAGATCACTTTAAGCCTGGCAGCTCTAGGGCCCATGTCCACTACTAAGCAGAGCTTTATGCCTCCCACTGAAACTGCATGGCAAGCAACACTGCTGTTATACCCATGACCTCCATCGCATTTACAGCTCTTCCATTTTTTCAGCCCACTGATTTCCGTACACACGTTACCTGTATAAAAGCTAGCGGCTTCTCTCCATCCTTCTTTTATAGTCACGGATACAGTCTCAGCTCAGCATAGCTCTCCCTTCTCGCCCACTGCCCGTTTCCCTCTCCAGTGTGGATATGGTACCAGGGAGGCTGCTTGCCTGGCGTGCAGTGATCCTTCGTAACCTGAGATAAAGAACAAATTTTGCCAGCTGAAGTCTGTAGCCTCCAAGAGAGGTATGTCCCCTGTCCCCAAGACACAGCAAGCACAGCCCATGAGCTGCTGGCAGCTTGCAAGGGGACTTTCAGAGGAGCGTGGCTGGATCACACCTCTCTGAGGCACCAAGACTCTGGTTTATATGGAGGTGGCTCAGTACCAGGAACGTTTGGTAAGGCTGCCTGTCACAGAACTGCACGAGTGCTAGAGCTGTTGTCCTTATTATAGAAACTGAAAATCAAATAGGAAGGAAAAAGAAACCCTTATGTGGAAGAGCAGGTAAAATAAGCATGGATTGTCATACTGCTGAGTACAAGCTGCGTATTAATGGCACTATTTTTTATACATGCTGCAGGAACAAACAGGATCTTATACGTGTTGATTGTCATCTTGTTTTTTGTGGCACTAATTGGCATTGTCATCTTCATTGTATACTACAAGAACAAGGGGAAAAAGCTGACAGGTACGTGATAGCTAATGATATTCATGAATGTGACAACTGCATGGCACTCTGCGTGCTCTTATTTCATGGGTAACCACCGGGCTAAGAAACTCAAGAGCTATTTTGGAAGTTCTGTGCTATCCCTGTATCTGTCCCTATGGGTAGGCTTTAACTAGCACAAAGCCAGGCTTCAAATTCCTTTTCCCTAGGCCGGGAGCATTATTACACTTAGGCACAACGCGTCTTGCTCGGTATCCTCCTGCAGCCCTGACCATGGGGTGGCCGCCCTTGGGGCAGCCGCAGCCGCTGTCTGGATGAAGGAGGGCTGGTGCTGGGGGCTTCCGTAGCGGCATGGCTGCCCTGCACCACGTGGAACAGCAGACCCCTTGGCTGAAGGGAAGCAGGGAAAGACTTAGGGGGCTTTCACCACTTCCCATCTCCTTTTCCCCCACTTTCCCTCCTCCCCTGAAACCTGCATCCGGACAGGTTAAAATATGGATTTGGAGACAAAGGCCTGATATGTATTTGAAAGCGTGATGGAGGCAATGGTTTCAGCTGAAGGCCGAAGTTCTGATGAGGTATGCAAGAAATACTAGAAGGAAATAGAGTAAATGGTAAAAGTAGAAAAATTCTAGCAAAGGCATAGTGGGTAACAGTGAGGCACTGAATGTAATACAATGGCAATGGAATACCTTCAACTCTGTGTTAAGCCCTGGTTCTCCTTAGTTAGGAGTTAGGATACACCCATATTCATGGAATGCTTTGTTTTGGAAGGGACCTTAAGAGGCCATCTAGTCCACCCCCCCTATACTGAGCAGGGACAAATTGTTCTGTCCGTTTTTTATTTTCACCCCCTACACGTGGAAAACTTTTTCTAGCGTAGTTTTTCCATCATCTCCTTTCCCAAGCCCTAGAAATTTATTAGATGTTTTGGAAGCAGTGGAAGGGAAGACAGAAACCCTTTCTTGTAAAGTATATTTCAGCCTATGCTTTAGAAGTAGGCTGCCCCTGCCACACTAAACATGGGTTGTGCTAAATCTGGAATTCCTGGGATGGGCTGGAGGAAATGGTGACTCTCCTTGCAAACCAAATACTTACAATGCAAAGCAGGTTAGGGGAGAATCTGACATTTCTGTTGCCCTGCTGCTCTGCAGTAACAGTCTTTCATTGCCTTTGCGTGGCAAATCCTGCTAACTGGAGCCCCTGAGGCTTGCAGGCTCAGGAAGAAGCTCTGCCTGCTTGGGGACTGATGGTAAATGTGCAGACTTAACGTCAGAGAAATAGAGCCATTGCTGGGAACTGGCAGGGGCTGCGTAGCCAACCTGTCTTAGAATGATAGAATCATTTGGGTTGGAAAAGACCTTTAAGATCATCAAGTCCAACCATTAACCTAACCCTGCCATCCCACCACTAAACCATGTCCCTAAGCATCACATCTAGATGTCTTTTAAATACCTCCAGGGATGGGGACTCGACCACTTCCCTGGGCAGCCCGTTCCAATGCTCGATAATCCCTTCGGTGAAGAAATTTTTCCTAATATCCAATCTAAACCTCCCCTGGTGCAACTTGAGGCCATTTCCTCTCATCCTATTGCCCGTTACCTGGGAGAAGAGATCCAGCAGACGTTGCAGAGATTGACATAGAAACCCAGCACAAGCTTCAAATGTACGAGACCTGAGCCCTGCCAAATATCCTGAAAGTTATAAACAGAAAACTAGAATTGCTCACTGTATTAAGTGGCAGTCTTTATCATAAAGCATTGTTGGACTTAAAGCTTTTCCTTGGGAGGTAACTCTGATTAAGTGAATTTCCCCATTAAGCACACCCTGATGAAGTGAAATACGCTGTATTTGAGCCAGCCATCCTGTGGTTTCAGTGGCTTACCCTCTTCTCTCCAGGCTCCTCACTCCTGTCTGAGAACGGTTTTTGGGCCGTCCATGTGACTTTTCTTGAAATAGACCGTACGGCTGCAAGCGGGTCGGTATCGGGCCAGTCATAGCTTGGTGTGACATATGACCAGGAAAGAAACCCCATTTGATGTGGAACACAGTTTAACTGTGGTCTATTTTAGGAGCTTGGAAACATTTGTTCCACAGAAATATATCCCTGTTCCAGTTACAATGAATCCTAGCTAGACTGAGGCTGGGACACTTGAACAGTCAGTAAAAACAGTCTCGCTGGTTTTCATTTAATATGATATTGCGGATTGTGAATGACTGTGGGTGTTTAGGTCTGTGGTTAACTTCAGTGCCTGCTATATGTTACAGCTACTCTTTTTGTTTTTCCTACAGCAGATCTACAGAATTGGGCTAACGAAGTGTGCAGCCAAATAAAAGGAACAAAGGTAAAGTCAAAGACACTAACATTTTCTCTCTGATTTATGTTTTCCTCATGG